AGGAACATACCTAAACCTAGTAAGAGCAATATATAGCAAACCAACTGCCAACATCAAACTGAATGGAGAGAAACTTAAGCCAATTCCTCTAAAATCAGGAACAAGACAAGGCTGCTCTCTCTCTCCATATCTCGTCAATATCGTACTAGAAGTTCTAGTTAAAGCTACAAGACAACAAAAGGAGATCAAGGGCATCCAAATTGGAAAGGAAGAAGTCAAACTGTCAAACTGTCTCTATTTGCAGATGATATGATAGTTTACATAAGAGACCCAATAAACTCTACCAGAGAAATCCTACAGTTGATTAACGCCTTCAGCAAACTAGCGGGATACAAGATAAACTCAAAAAAATAAGCACCCTACTTTTTTCAGACGACAAAGAGACAGAGAAAGAAATTAGAGAAACATCACCCTTTACAATAGCCACAAGCAACATAAAGTATCTTGGTGTAATACTTACCAAACAAGTAAAAGACCTATATAATAAGAACTTTGTGACTCTAAAGAAAGAAATTAAAGAAGATACCAGAAAATGGGAACGATCTCCCATGCTCTTGGATAGGTAGGATAACCATAGTAAAAATGGCAATCTTGCCAAAAGCAATCTAAAGATTCAATGCAATCCCCATTAAAATCCCACCACAATTCTTCACCGACCTTGAAAGGATAATAATCAACTTTATATGGAAAAACAAAAGACCCAGGATAGCCAAAACAACCCTATACAATAAAAGAACTTCAGGAGGCATCACCATTCCTGACTGTAAGCTCTACTACAGAGCTATAGTTCTGAAAACAGCCTGGTATTGGCATAAAAATAGACAGGTAGACCAATGGAATCGAATTGAAAATCCTGATATTAATCCACGCACCTATGAACACCTGATTTTCGACAAAACAGCTAAAATTATACAAATGGGGCGAGGACAGCATCTTCAACAAATGGCGCTGGCACAAATGGATGAGGGTGTGAAGAAGACTGCAGATAGACCCATGTCTGTCGCCATGCACAAAACTCAAGTCCAAATGGATCAAAGACCTCAACATCAATCCAGCCACATTGAACCTCTTAGAAGAGAAAGTAGGAGGTACCCTTGAACAAATTGGTATAGGAGACCGCTTCCTGAACATAACTCCAGGGGCACAGACACTGAGAGCAACAATTAATAAATGGGACCTCTTTAAACTTAGAAGCTTCTGTAAGGCAAAGGACACAATGGACAAGACAAATGGCAGCCCACAGACTGGGAAAAGATTTTCACCAATCCTATATCCAACAAAGGGCTGATCTCCAAAATATACAAAGAACTCAAGAAACTAGTCAACAAAATACCAAATAACCCTATTAAAAAATGGTGTACAGAACTGAAGAAAGAATTCTCAATAGAGGAAATCAAAAAGGCAGAAAGACACTTAAGAAAATGCTCCACATCCTTAGCTATCAGGGAAATGCAAATCAAAACAACTTTGAGATACCATCTTACCCCTGCCAGAATGGCTAAAATTAGAAACACCAGTGATGACTTATGTTGGAGAGGATGTGGAGAAAGGGGAACACTCCTCCACTGCTGGTGGGAGTGCAAACTCATACAGCCATTCTGGAGATCAGTATGGCGGTTACTCAGGAAAATGGAAATTAGTTTACCACAGGACCTGGCAATCCCCATCTAAGGCATATATACCCAAAGGATTCACATCCATGCAACAAAGACATCTGTTTAACTATGTTCATAGCAGCATTATTTGTAATAGCAAAAACCTGGAAGCAACCTAGATGCCCCTCAATTGAAGAATGGTTAATGAAAATGTGGCACATCTACACAATGGAATACTACTCTGCAAAAAAAAATAATGGTATCTTGAAATTCACAGGCAAGTGGATGGCACTTGAAGAAACCATCCTGAGTGAGGTAACCTAGTCACAAAAAGAGGAACACAGTATGTACTCACTCATATATGGATTTTAGACCTAGAACAAATGATCACCAGCCTATAATTCACACCACCAGAGGAACTAGGATACAAGGTGTATTCTAAGAGATTCATATAAAGTCCCTCACAGAAGTGGGAAGGGACAAGTCCCCCAGTGTTCAGGGGAAGTGGGGGGGGAGACAGCGAATGGAGAGAGAAGTAGAAGAAAACAAGGGGGAGGGAGGGGAAACATGCGGCCCGGGGAGGAGGAGCTGGCTGGGAATAGAAGAGAAGAAAGGAAAGGGGGGAAAGAAAAAAAAAGAAAGGGAGAAAAAAAAGGGGGGAAAAAATATTGTTTGAAAAAAAAAAAGAAAAAAAAAAAAGAGAGGAAAACAAAAAACCCCCCCCCCATCAAAATTTGGACCCCCTGGTAAAGGACCAAAAAAACCCCCCCCCCCAGAGAGGGAAAACAAATAAAAACCTCAATAGGGCCCCCAACAAAAAAATAAGGGAAGAAGAAGAAAAAACCAAAAAAAAAAAAAAAGAGAGACGAAGAAGAGGAGAGAAAGGGGAGGACAAGACCAGGCGGTAGAAACACATAGAGACAGCTTACCTGAACAAGGAGGAGCTAATGGGCCACCAGACTGATAGCTGGGAAGCCAGCATCGGACTGACTCAGGCCCCCTGAATATGGGTCTCAGCCAGAAGGTCTGAGCAGTCTAAGGGACCTCAGACAGTGGAGCCAGGATGTATCCCTGGTGCACAAAAGGACTTTGCGACCATATCCCCCATGGAGGGATAACTGCCTTAATCTAGAGACAGGAGAGAGGCCCTAATCCCTACAATAATAAAAAGTAATTAAGCCTTGAGCCAGTAAGATGGTTCATCAGGTAAGAGCATACCACTAAGCCTTACAACCTGAGTTCAACACTCCAAATCCACATGGTAGAAGGAAATAATCAACTCCAGAAAATTGTTTTCTAACCTGGACAGGTATGCTATTTGAACACACACAAAAGTTAAAAAAAAAAAAAAAAAAAAAGTGAACCTTTGCTGATTCTTAATAGTTCATACATGTCTATTGCCCCTTCCTATAAAAATTCACCAGTATCACCAGTGTGTGTGTGTGTTAAAGTTTTAAAAGCATCTGCAATTTCCTTATTTATTTTTGTGCATGCCTCAGAATCTCCATTAACACTCTCTTCAGGAGCATGGAGATGGTTCTTCCAGTTAAGGTGAGCTATTCACCAAGGCATCACCCATCCCAGAACCAACAATGTGTGCCATAAAACTCAGCTTAATGCTCTTCAATCTGCAACTTCTGAGGTTCTGATTATCCAATGTGGAGGCCCATTTCATTTTTCCATCTAATAAAATAAAGTCCTAATCAGAAATACATAGTTTTACACAGGTATACACAGTATTGCTAAATCTACCACTTTATTACTTCAAAAGAGTAACAGGGGCATCATAACTGTCCTAATGTTTTCAAGCCAGGAGGCACCACCTGCCAAAGAAAAACTTCTACAACCACTTTAAAACACACAAATCTTTCAGTGTGGTAAACCAGTACAGGAACAAAGGCTTCGTGAGAACTAAGCATCTCCTAACTTGTAACAACCCGCATAGTTGTAACACTACAAATGATTAATAGTTCTAAATGAATAACTAATGACTATTATTCATCAATCATCTATTATTTGCAACGAGCTTTACTGATCTTTACATAATAAGCCTTTAAAATAACAGGGACAGGGAACTTGATAGTAAAGGGCCACTCTAAGGTTCCCTCACAATAACCCTCTAAGTTTAGCGCTCCCCCACTCTCATCAAGTTTGTTCATGAAGAAACTGAGGTTCAGAAAACTGACCATTCTCCGGCTGTCAAAGCTCTAAATGGTTAAGGCAGAATCGATAGTATTCAGAGCCTAAATACCTTCCTCTCTGCCACATCGATATCAAAAGGTCAGAGCTAGGAAAGCCAGGACGTGCACAGGCTAGCCAAGCCTATTATTATCAAACATTCACAAATATGGAAGTTTGAACCTGGTAATAAATAAATAAAACTTCCTATTTCAAAACTCCAGCGGCACAGCAAGTGGGGCTCCATTCCAACAGCCTGTAGTCTCCTATGGAAGCACTGTGGAGTTCTAAGCGCTATACCCTGTTCAACAGGAGACCATCAGCAACTGAAAATTGCGTTAAAGAACAGATGTCACTATTACAACTATTCTCAGTTAAAATATGCATTCTCTTCCCTGGAGTTCTGCCTGACAAGGAAAAGTTTAAAAGCTGTCCAAATAAAAGTCAAGAACTTGGTCACGAAAATCCTGTCACATCTTAGCTATTACCTACATGCCCCCCCCCCAAGACCATTCGGGTGCTCATAAGACTATCAGGCTTCTTTCGAAAAACAAATGTGAAACAATTATACAGGGGATTTTTTTTTTTTTAACTTCAGTCTGGGAACGGAAGTCAAGTTCAGATTCTCTTCCTTCCTCAAGCGAGTCAGAGAATTAAAAGAACACTCCCCATGACACACACACACACACACACACACACACACACACACACAGAGAGAGAGAGAGAGAGAGAGAGAGACAGAGACAGAGACAGAGAGCGTGACACACTTCTTGCAGTCAAGATCCCTGACCTCTCCCCATGTGGCAATCCAGAAAGCAGGCCTAGATCTGTTGGGAATTATGGCTTTTCCTTATTGGGGGCAAAGGCGGGTGGGTCCGGGGTGAGCAGGAAGTTTTCAATCCGGCCGCTCTAACTTGGACACCGTTCCTGGCTTGTTGGCACTAGCCCGGGACCCTCCGGGACTCAGCCTGCGCAGACAGCACAGCGCGGGCGGCAATCACTAACCGCAGCTCGGCCGCAGAACCCCGGGCGCCCCTCCTAAGCCCGAGCCCGGCCCACGCCGCTCCGCGTGGGGACCGCGAAGGGACAGCCACGGCGGGGCGGAGGGGCGGGGCGAGCACTTCCTGACTCGCTTTGTCCACGCGCCGCCCGCGCCGCCCGGGGCCCCGCCACCGCGCCCGCCCGTCGGGGAGGAAGTTGGCGCTCGCCCCGCCGCCGTCGTCTTACCGTTCTTGGCGTCTCCCGCGGCTGCAGCCCCCGCAGCGACGCCGGCGTTGGCGGCGCCCGTGGCCGCACCTCCCGCGCCCGCCGCGCCGCCGGTGCCCACCGCGCCCGCTGACACCGCCCCGCAGCCCGCCGCCGCCGCCAGGGCCCCTCCGGCCGCCGCGCCTGTCGCACCCGCCGCCGCCAAGGCCCCGGCTCCATTTTCCTGCTCGTCCCCGCTGCTGTTGGCGCGCTTGTTTTTGCGGCCGCCTTTGCTGTTCTTGGGGTTGGGCATCTCCCCGGCCCCCTCAAAGGTGTCCCGGTGCCCGGCGCCCACGGACGCTGCTCCCCGCGGCGCCTGGGGCGGCTGCGGAGAGCGCGGGCCGGCCGCTCTGCTCAGGCGCCCGCCCCGCCGTGCGGCCCGCGCCGCGCCATCCCGGCCGCCGCGCCCTCCCCGGCTTCCTGGAGCCGGCGCGGCCACGCGCGGCCACCCGAGGCTCGCAGCCGCGCGGGCGCAACGGGCCCGCGAGCGGAGCGACACGCTCGGGGAGCCTGAGCGAAAAGGCGGGTCTCGGGCTTGTTTTGATTCGGCTGCGCTGACACGCTCGAGGCCCGCCCCTGCCCGTGACGACACTGGGGCTTGAGCCTGGCCCCGCCCACCGGCTGACCTCACCGCGGGGCCGTCCGCCCCGTGACGTCACGCCCCGCGCAGGGCCCGCCGCCCGGTGACGTCATCCAGGCGTCTTTGGGCGGGGGCGTGGAGGGGAAGCTCCAGGGCTTCCGGTGTGCTCTGAGGGCCCTGTCTGAGACTTGCCAGGTAAAGTGTTGGTGAAGTTGTCAGCTGACCTGCCTGGAACTCAGGGTTACAACACGGGAAAGATAAACAGGTGACTAAACAGGAAAGGAAAACACATTTCGGATTAATGATTTGTCCAATGGCTCTGCGGTTCAGTAATGATGCAGATGCAGGGAGTTCCTGGACAGTGCAGGAACTCCGGCTGGGGATTCCTCCTGCTTGTGGTGGTAAGCTCATTTCATGCAGACCTACCAACCAGAGACCTTCTGTCAGAAGCAGAGCCAGCCTGGAGGAGTTGTCTTGAGAGAGTGGCCCCATTTTGAGGAAGACATTAGGAGAAGTTGTGAGGACAAGGCCAACAGTAGATGGCCCACACAAAAAGAACCCAGTGGACTCTTTGGAGATTCTTTGTCTCATAATTTTTTTGTCGGGGTTTTTCTTTTCTTTTTTTCACCTTACAGGTCCTTTGTATATATATATATATATATTATAGCTTTCGGTTTTCTGTTTTTATAAGATTCTTGACTATATGAAAGTGTGTGTGTGTGTGTGCGCGCGCGCGCGCGCACTAGCGTCTGTATGTGTCATGCTTTTTTCTTTTTTACTTTTTTCTTCTGTTTGTTTTGTCCTGTTGGTTTGTCTTCATTTTATCTTACCTTTTTTATTGTTTACATGCAGGCTTGTTTTCTGACAAGAGACAGAAAGGGTGTGGACTCAGCTGGAGAAGTAGTGAGGGTCTTGGAGGACTTGGAGGAGAAGCCATATTAGACTATATTATAGTACACAACATCCATTTCAGTAGAAGAAAAATAGAAAAAGGTGTGAGGGCACAGGGCTCCGGGGAAGTGTTTGGTGTGGCCTCCTTTTCTACAGGTCTGTTCTGCTCACTTCCATCCTTCAGTTCACAGCCCAAATGCCCCTCTCCCTTCAGCATGATATCATGGAATTACCATCTCGGAAATGCTTTCAAAACATTGCAGTTGATTTTCCTTGTCGACATCTGATTATGATGGTAATGTGTATGCTTATTTCTTGTCTTCCTTCCTCATGTGAAACTGCTGTATATAGGAATTTGTCTTGGGTGCCATAAGAAACAACTGCCATAACTTGTTGAATGTATAAATAGGGTTCTTTAGCCATGACTACAGAGGGAAGACTATTAACTTACAGTGTCCTCCTCTGATAGTGTGATCGGTAATTAACTCTGTTATTGAGTCAAGGCATTGTGGTTGTATTGAGTAGTGTAGAGCACTTTGGGCATGGAACAAGTCTTTGACAGGGATTGCCTAAGACCATCGGAAAACACATATATTTGCATTACAGTTCATAACAGTAGAAAAGTTACAGTTATGAAGTAGCGATGAAAATAATTTCATGGTTAGGGGCTCCAGAGTATTAGGACCTGTATTACAGGTCCCAGCATTAGGAAGATTGAGAGCCACTGGTCTAGAGAGACAGCCAGTACTGAGAGCAAGTACTGAGAGGAGGGCCATCTGTATGGCTTCCTAGCCAGGACTCTGGAAGGCAGAGCCTGCAGCAACAAGGACAGCAGTGTATACTTCAGAGCAATTAATAATTGGGCTTTTTGTTTGGCTTGGCTTTTCAAGATAAGATTTCTCTGCATAGCACTGGCTGTCTTGGAACTCTGTAGACCAGGCTGGCCTTGAACTTGGAGATCAACCTACCTCTGTCTCCTCTAAGTCCTGGGATCAAAGGCATCACCCCAACCCCTGTAACTAGTTGGACTTTTTAAGTGGGAAAATTATGAACAATTTAGTCCTTAATACACTATATGTTAAATGAAAGTAATCCTTTAGAAGGCCCAAATGATAGCTAAGATAGATGATAGGTGGGTAGGTAGGTAGATGATAGATGGATGGATGGATGGATGGATGGATGGATGGATGATAGTTGTATGTGCCAGAGATTGGCATCAGGTGTCCTCTTTTATTCTTCACAAGCTTAGTTTTTGAGGTAGGGTCTCTTATTGGACCTGGAGCTCAGTGACAGATTGACTGGCTAGCTAGTGAGTGCCAGGATTCCACCTGTTTCTGCCTATTCAGATCTGGGACTATAGATATGTGTCTCTGTGCCCAGTTTTTACATGGGTGCTGGAGATCCAATCCAGGTTCTCATGCTGGTACAACAAGCACTTTACCAATCCAGGTATCTCCCCAGCTAGAGAGTAGATATTTTGTGCTTATATTTTTATTCAAACATTCATAATCTCACACACAAATATATACTGTAAGTACCAGTAGAGAAGGGTAGAGTGTCTCTCTAACTCTACAGTCTAATATAAAGCCTTCTTCATAGTTGTGTTGGGTAAAAAAAAAAATACTGTGTGGAATACAAATTTAAAAATTGTATGAAATAAGGAACTCTTCTTCATGTGTTTTTCTGAACCTTAATATGTCCACTCAGCTATTAATAACTACTAAGTCTTCTGTAGTAGCCCAAATTAGACTTGTCTCCATTGACTCCCTATTCCTTCTTCACAAGAATGGCTTACACATTTAGTATGAAATTGTTTATTCCCTTGCCTCTTGTCTGAAGCTCACTATAATGGCAATAATTCTGTCTGTCCTACGATATGCACTGTGCTTACCATTGTATATTGTACATGGTACATGACAGGAAAAATAAATGTACTAAAGGGCAGATGACTTACAAGTAGATACAGAAAGATTTTGTAGACACTTAACAGTAGGGGATTAAGGAATGCAGTCAAGACAGTCTACAAATTGAGCAAAATTAAGGTGTAATTAAGTGGAGGCATCAGAAAGAGAACAACAGAACTATAGATAATGAAAATGTGTAAATAAGGTCCATTTAGAATTGTATTAACTTCATTACTATTATGCCTCTCTAGCAGTGGTTAAGAGAGTTCAAAATATTTTGGTGACATTACTTTTGGCAAATTTTTTTTGTTATTTTTAATTGGTGAAGATGAAGTTGTAGGATACAGTCTAAGAAAATTGAGATAATTAATTTCTTGAATAAGCACCCTGCCACCATGCCATGTTGATCAAAGTTAACATGCACATATATACCCTGCAGACAGGCATCCACGCCAGCTGCCTGCCACCTCTATGTAACTGAAACTTAAGAACTAGATGCTTTCCCACAGAAATGTAGTTGGCTCAAAGCACACAGACACCCAGCCAGTTGCAGCTGTAATTATGAGCCACCTTCTCTTTATTCAAACTGCAAGAAAATGAAACTGAGGAAGGACAAGCTGGGCATTTCCATGCTCAACCTTCATATCTAATTTTGGTCTTAGTCAAATGTGACACAGAGGCTACAGTTCCTGTTTTATTGCTACAAAAGGCAAGACACTAAAATCAAGATGTTCAAGACAAAATTAAGGTGATATTCAAGGACCCTGTTTTTAGCATTCAGTATTCTGTGGAATTTCACCAGAATTCTGACATCCCAACCTTTTCCCGTTTTCCTACCATGCCTAGGAGTGGGGGTTACATACAGAGGGAGAGAGACTGAGGCAAATCCTTCTCTTTAGATGCTTCTAGAAGAAGAGACTAAAACTGAAAACTATCCAAGCTGTTGTGCTGTATACATCTCACATGACATTTTAATCTTTAACTTCCCTGATCAACTCATGTGCTCTGAAATATACTTCAAAGGATTAAAACTCCATTCCACTCAGTTTTCTTCCCCTTGACTATCATACACTTCTCTGAAAATAATAAAAAAGACAGCAATAAATCAAGTCTTTCGAAAATAAGCAATTTATACCTTTGAGAAAAAGAATGAACAAATCTTCAGGACTAGGTTTGAATAAAAAAAAAGTTGATTATTTCCATGTTATAATATTATTGACCTTTTGTGTCTGTCTTTTGAGCTTTTGACATTTGCCAAATTTGGGCTAGGGTTATACTATAGAAAAGTATGTTAACTACATTTATAATTAAGACAAGAAATAAAGAAGCTGAATGTTAAAAAAAAAAAAAAAAAAGTCAGCTTGGTCCAAAAGATTATAGAGGGACTCAGAATTCTAGAGATCATGAGGTAATGTACACAAAAGTCAAGGTGCTACTGCTAAAAGTCACTAAACATGCCTTGAATACTGTATATGATCGCTGTAATCAATTCGAATGCCTTGAATACTGTATATGTTTTCTTTGATCAATGCCTTCGGAAGAAAGCCTCCTCTATGTGTGCAGGTTTTCTTTGAGGATTATCAACTATTGTGTGTGTGTGTGTGTGTGTGTGTGTGTGTTTAATTAGGATTTGTTTTTATTATTTTTGTGTATGTGTATGTTTATTTATATGTTTGTACCTGTGTGAATATATGCTGTGTGTGTTCACATGCAGGCCCAAGAAAGCAAGAAGAGAACATTGGATCCTGTGGAACTAGAGTTACACGTGGTTGTGGGGCTGGGAAATAAACTCTGTTCCTCTAGAAGAGCAGCAAGTGCTTTAACTGCTGAGCCATCTCTCCAGCCCCTTAAAAGAATAGCATAGTAATACAAATACTACATTGACTATTACATGAAAAATCTGTTCTTCCATAAAATTGTTCTCAATTAATAATACTAATATTGTTCT